TGGCTGGTGGTGGCGGTGATGTGACTGGTGGTGGTGAGTAGTGGTTGGTGGTGGTGGTATGGTGGCTGGTGGTGGCGGTGATGTGACTGGTAGTGGTGGTGATGGACTGGTGGTGGTGGTGATGTGCTGGCAGATGTGTCATTCTTGGGTCCAGTAACAGGAGAGGGTCAGTTCTAGGGCACCTGAGGCATACGTCCTAGGACCCTGAGTGTGACTGTCTGGGGCCTGTGTGGGCAGCTTTTCCTGCTATTAGCTTCTTGGATATTTGAAGACAAATGCCCCTGGGGAGACTGGGTGCCTGAGCGTCTCCGAGGAGAAGGGCTCCTTGGTGGGCATGCTGCCCTGCCTGCCCCGAGCTGCTCCAGACTCACACTTGCCCCTGTGTCCACAGCCAGCAGCCGCCTGATGGGAAACTCCCCGGCCTCTTCTTTCATGGGCAGCTTCCTCACCAGCAGCCTGGGCTCCGCGGCCTCCACGCACCCGAGTGGCCCCACCTCCTCCCCCTCTGAGCAGGCCTACCGTGGCTCCCACCCGGCCACCTCCCAGATCTGGTTCTCCCACTCCCACGAAGGTAAGTGGGGCCTGGGCCCCAGTGGCGCCTGGTGGCGAGTGACTGACCGTGGAGCCGGGGGCCGGTGGCAGGGCAGGGCTTCCCACCCCGGCAGCGGCAGCCCGGCTGGCAGACCCTGCCAAGCTCGCCCTGGTGAGGGGCCGCCTCCCTGCCGAGGAAGCCCCGGGGGAGGGGGTGATTGGCTGGAAACGGGGGCGCCTTTTCTGCAGTGGTCCCGGCCAGATGTGTGCTCCAGATGGGCAGAGAGTGAGAGGAGGGCCAGGAAGGGCTCTGGGGAACTGGGAAAACATGGAACACAGTTGGGCCAGCCGGCCGGAGTGCGCCTTCCACCGTGGGCTGAGTCCTGCCTCCCCAGACTTGAGGAGGCGTGGGCTCCAGATGTACTAGCCGGGAGGTAGGGTGGGGAGGGGACAGCTGTCAACATACTCAGGCTGCCACCCCGGGGCCTGGCCCAGGACAAAGAGACCCTCCCAGGCCACCAGCCTCCCGGTGGGACGCAGCCCTGGGTACACAGTAGGTGCCCCGTGAACACCTGTTGCTCAGCCTGGCTGGCAGGAGGGTCCCGGAGGCCCTTCTTGGACCCCAGGGCCCCGCCCAGCTCCCCACTGCCTGCTCAGTCGCCTGGTGCTGTGAATCGGGTGACCCTGGACCCCGACTCGCCGGCCCCACGGCTGCTGTACTCAGGCGGCCACCCCGGCCCCCGCAGTGTGGGAAGGGTTAAGCCCCTCCACCCCCCGCGGCTGGCACGCGGAGAGGTAATTGCAGTTGGCAGCGGGCACACAGGGCTCTCTGCTCCTGGCACCCGGCACTGCCGTAACTCAATGACTCTGCCGAGCGGCGGGCGTTGTGTTTACAGAGCGCGGCGGACCCACACACCGCGCCACCGCCCCGTTCCAGGCAGGGAGATTAGCACCCGGCACTGCTGGAAGCAGAGAAACCTCTCTTTGTGCAACAAGAAAGGGGCTGTTTTCCAAACAGAACAGGTGACGAGTGAGGGACAGTTGTTAAAATAATCTGGGCTTTAGGCACGGGGCGCGCACGCTGGGCAGGCGGGAAGGAGCGGCTCCCTTCCCGGACGGAGGGGAGGCCGCGTCCTGAGGACGTGGTGGGCAGAGCGGCGGGCAGAGCGGGGTTCTCAGCCCGGGCTCGCCTGCGCCTTCCCCTGGCGCCTGCAAACCTAGCAGCCTCCCGGGAGGGGACCGGGCTGGCCGTGGGGGCCCCCACCGTCCCTCAGCCGTTGTGTCCGCTGGGCAGACGTCCCGGCCAGCGGTGGCATCTGGCTCCCAGGACGTGTGCGGGAGGGAGGAGGGGCCGAGCGCGGGCAGACACAGCGGCTGCTTCCCCCACCCTGGCCCACCACAGGTGCATGTCTGTGCCCGGGCTGGCTGACTTGGTTTCCCCTCCTTGCGACGGTGGCCCCTGGTCAGGGCCCAGGAGAGGCACCGGCCTGTCCCTCGAGCCCCCTGCGTCGGGAGGTGCAGGCACCGCTGCCCTCCATCCCAGCCTCGGGAACCCCGCCAGCTAGGGGTCGGTTTGTGGGTAACACCACCTGCCCTGGAGCCCCGTCCTGCCCCCCCAGGGGCCGCTCAGAGGGTGGTGGCAGCCTGCGGGCAGACGGCGCCCACAACGGCCTCCAGACACCCACTTCCCCCTGTGCCAACGGCTGCCAGGGCGGAGACACTCGCAGCCCACCGGGCACCCCAGCAGCCCTCGGCCCGGTGTGGGGCCCGGCCTGTCGGCAGGTTCCACCTTCCCGCCTCAGCCCCAGGGGTCCCCCTGGCTGGCTGTGTGCCGGGGCGGGGGCGGCCCCAGGCCCTTGGCTTCTGGGCTCCGGCTGCGCCAAGCCTTCTCTGCCCGTATCCTGCCTGCTCGGGAGGACGGGACGGTGCCACGGCGGCCGTCTGGGACCGGCCTTGAGGGCAGCAGCCGCCTGTCCACCTGATGGGCAGCTCCTGTCGCCGGGGGAGACGCCCTGTGTTGACGTGCCCAGGCAGGCGGGGGCACCTGCGTCAGGCAGGGGGCCTGGAGAGCCAGCACAGGTGGACGAGGGGAAGGGGATGTGGCCCCCCGAGTGAGCACACGCGTGTCCACGTGCGGGGCCCTGCCGAGGGTAGCAGCATCGGGTGGGCCACGTGCACATCTCAAGGCCGTGCCTCAGTGGGCTCCTCTGTCTCCCTGCCTTAGTGAAGCCGCCCCGCCCCGGGATCCCCTCCCCGCGGGGTTCCCCTGCCCTCTGCAGCCGCGTGGTGCTGCCGCGGGCTGCGCGGCGAGGCCAGTGGCAGGCAGGCGGGGCGCGCGGCTGGCTGGCTGCCCGGGCAGCGTGCCTGGCTGCTGGTTTGACCGGGCGCCAGCTGGCTGCCTGCACGCCGGGGCCTGTTTCTCTGCCTCGCGCTCAGGGGAGGGGCGCGACGGGCTGCCTGGGTGCCACCGTCCCCCTTGGCCACCGGTCCCTTCACAGCACCCAGGGTGGGCAGGGAGGCAGGTGCCGGGCAGAGCCAGCTCTCCGCCCCTCCCCGGCTGGCCTCTGCAACAAGGCCGGGGAGGCCAGCGTGGGGCAGGCGGGCAGGAACCTAGCGGGGGTCGGCCTGGTGCCCCCCCCAAGCAGGGCCTCCCAGACCCCCCCTCCCACCACCCACGGGGCAGCCGCGGGAGCAGGGCTGGGCCTCCTGCTTGCCGGTGAAACAGCTGGGGGTGCAGAGGGGGGGAGCTGGGCTGGAACATCTGGCCCAGCCCCCGCCTCCCGCCTGCTCTGGCTCACCCAAGACAAGGGGTTCCTCCAGAGGTGGACCCCTCTGGGGCTTGGGGCGGGGGCGGTGGCGGAACTGGCCCGGGTGGTGCTGAGGGAGGTGAGCCACTGTCCGGCCAGCGGCCCTGGGTGGGTCGGAGCAGGGTGAGGTTCCGCACAGCTGGCCCTATTGTCAGCAAGACGGGTCCCCTCCCTCCCGCCCGCCCCAGCTGCTGGGCTGGGACCACCCACAGGGCCCATGAAAGGGGATTCTGTTCCTGGGGGGCTCAGCTGGGCAGGGCAGGGCAGGAGCCACGGAGCGCCTCGGCCAGGGCTACTCTCGGTCTCTTGTGCCACCTGGAGGGGCTGTGGGGCAGTGGGCACACGTGCAGGCGCTGGCCGCCCGCCTGGCCGCCTCCGCCGTTGGAGCCAGCGCCTCGTGGCCACTTCTGCATCCGGCCTGGCCTGGCTCCAGCGGGGGCAGCCCCCAAGAGCTCCCTGCTGCTCAGGCCCACAACCCCCTGCACATGCAGCCCCCCGCTGCCCCCCGCCCCCTTTCCGGGGACTCACCCAGGCTTCTGGCCGCAAGCAGGGCCGGGACGTATCTGTGCGGGGGACGGAGGTGCTGCCTGTGCCCGCCGCCCTGTGGCCGGGGGGGTCCCCGGGCTCCTGTAGCTCCGTCCTCCGTCCTGCCCTGGGTCTGGCCCCTTTGCTCCCTGGCCGGGGGCCCTGCCTCCTGCGCCTGTACAGTCCTGCATGGCTAAAATGGCCTCTTAACCCACCACCCTCTGGACTGTGGACCACTTCCATGGTTCCCCCTTGGTGGCCCTCAGCTCCTCCCCGTGGCCTGACCTGGCCGGCCGCCCCTGCCAGCCTCCAGCCCCCAGTCCCCAGCCCCCTGGAATCCGCCCTCCTACTCCGCACGTCCCGCCGTGGCCTGGCGTGGGCTCAAGGAGAGTGCTCTTACTCGCCTCTTGTCCTTGGCCTGACTGACCGGCCGTCCACTGTCACCGAGGACAGGGGTCCCGTCCTGGTGACCATGGGGGCCAGTGCCCAGCCCTGTGCCTGGCAGAGGCCCTTAGAGAAGGAGGCCACAGCGGGAGGGCTGGGGGGAGACACAGCCCAGGGGCAGCCAGGTGGCAGAACCTGAGCCCCAGTGAGCTGGGAATGTGGGCCGGGGTCCCGAGGGCCCCCGTCCAGCCCGGCTTGGATGAGGGGGCTGGTTCCCGCAGCTGCAGGTGGCCCTGGGGCAGGGGTCCCATGGCCAGCCCTGGCTCTGGGTCAGGCAGGACAGTGACGGTTTATCCTGAGCCTGGCCCTGGGGGGGCGCTGGCCTCGTGTCCTCCCAGCAGCACCGTGCTGCCCCTCGGCCACGCCCACCGCTGAGGTGCGGAAACGGGTGCAGGACGGGCTGTGCCGGGACTTGAGCCAGCACCCCCTCTACCCTCTGGGTCCCTGTGTTTGGGGTGAGCACCCCCTGCCCCCACAAGCTCCTGCTACCCCAGCGCCAGGGACTCGGCTGGGCTCCGGGAGTGGGGCCGCACTCGGACTCTGCCCACAGCCAGGCAGCCACGGGGCAGGGCCGTGGCAGCCCGGGCCGTGGCCTGCCTCTTACAGAGCAGACAGGCAAGGAGGGGGCAAGGAGCTCCACAGGCTGGAGCTGCCCCAACCTCGAGGCTCTGAGCCTCAGTTTCCCTATCTGGGGAGATTCGGGGGCTCCTGGCCGCCCCAGCAGTTGGGGGCGGGATGAGACGTGCTCGGTGAGACCTCCAGCACCCCCTGTGCCCCTGGCCTGCTCAGCCCCGGTTGGCGCGGTCAGCTGGGTGGTCACACGGGCTCTGACCTCGAGGGGTCTGGGGAGGGGCTTCTGGGGTCACCTCGCTGTAGGAGGAGTGGGGTCGAGGTGCCGCGGCCCCAGGGGTCTGCAGCCCCCTCTGCTCCTGTCTGTGCCCTGGCCAGGCTGGGGCCTCCACCCCCACCCCATCCCCCCAGGACCCCTCCCAGGCAGCCCCTCCAAGGACGCGGTGTCCCCAGTCCGGCCACAGCGGCTCTGGCTTCTGGTCTCAGAACAGCTGCTGTGATTCATGAAAATCATTTTTTTTAAATTTTCTTCTCTTCTGGGAGTACAGTCTCTTTGGGAAGAAGAAAGGGGCTTTCTACTGCTGGGCTGGAAGGACCCTTCTTCCCGCCCCCCTCAGTCTCTGCCCTGCAGGGCCCCCACGCCCTGAGGTTCCCCTGCCCCTTCCTGGTGGCACCCCCGCCCCTCCCTCTCTCCTTCCTGCCCGCCCTCCACTCCCCCCACTCCTTCCTGTCCCCCTCCAGCCCCGGTCCCCCCCCAGGGCCTCAGTGGGACGGAGCCGGCCAGGCCTTTGGGCCCGGGCCCCTGCTAGACTTCTGTCCCCACTGCCGGCCCCGGTGGCCACCAGCCCCGGCTCAGCCAGGGACACACCTGCCCCCTGCCCTCACGCTGCCCCCAAAGGGCTCCGGGCAGGAAGGAGCCCACCCCTTGGCCAGCTGAACGCCAGTTCCCCCCCCCCCGGGCGGGTGGGCAGCAGCCTGGACCTCCCCAGGGGGCACGGGGGCTCCTCGCCTGGGAAATGCCGTCTGGGAAGGAGGAATTTACAGACTTCTGTTTACCAAAAACCTAGGCCTCGTAAAACATTTCACGGCAGCCAATTAAAGGGGGACAGCTGCAGAGGTTTAATCAGCCCCCCCACCCCCTGCTCCACCGCCCCCGCCCCCTCACTCCCACCCTGTCCCCTCTCAGCTTCTGCCAGGTCCTCCAGAAGCTGCGTGGAGTCTGGTAAACATCTGCTCCAGATGTGTCCCCAAGCCCGGGCCAGTAGGCAGGCCCGGCTGTGCCCGCCACAGGGGCGGGCCAGGGCAGGCACCTTCCCCAGGGGCCTCCGCCCGGAGCCCCTCTCCCATATCGCAGGACTTCTCAGAGCCTTTATAATGCTCACGCCCTTGTCACGACTCCACGTGGGGACAGGCGTGGGGCGTGCTCTTACGGAGCCGTGTGACCCGCAGCTTGTTTTGCATGGAGCATCTCCTGGGGACCGAGGTCCTTGGATTCGCCCAGGTTCTGCTGAGCCAGAGAACCTCGAACAGCGTCATCGGGGCTGAAGGTGGCCTCTGCTACAGTGGGGCCCACAGGCTTGAGGTGTGGGGTGCTGCACGGGGACTAGGGGCGCCACCACCCTTGGGGCCTTGTTCCTGGGGGACCCAGAGTGTCCCCACCTGACAGGCCTGTGAGCTCTGCTCCTCGTCCTCCCCTCTGAGCCGGGTTCCAGGGACTGTCCCTGTCCCACAGCGTGACCCACCCTGACCTCCTGGTCTGCAGAGGGCCACCTCCTCGCCCAGCCTTGGTGCTCCCAGAGCAGCACCCCTGTACCTACAGGGGGCACCCCTGGCTCCAAGGTCGAGTGTCCAGGCCCCAGCGAACGGCCCAGGCCCCAAGAGGAGTGGGGTGGACACAGGCCCCGGGATGTGGACCTGCCCTTCAGTGCTTGACTCCCGGAACTGTTTCTCAGAGTGCATTCCGTGGAACACCTGGCCCATGAGTTACTAAAGAGTCTCACTAAAGCCACTCGGGGTGTTGGTGATAAAAGTAGTTTGGGAAAAAGTGAAGCAAGATTAAATGAAGCTCTCTGCTGCAGGACTTGTCAGTGACTTCACTGTGACACACAGGGGGTCTGGTGCACGGCTCCCCACGCGTGTGGTTAAGACACACATTCGTCAAGCGATAGTGTGACTAGCACTGAATCCACACTCCTGGGGCCCAGCTGACCTGTCCCTCCCAGAGCTGCTGCCTGCGGGTCCCTCCCGGCTCCTGCCTCTGCGGCCGTTCTGCTCCTTGGGGGAACCCCGGGGATTCCTGCTCCCCTGACACCACCAGGGCTGCCTGACGAGCCCGTCAGTGCCAGGAAGCTCTTGGGACAATCCTGAAGTCCCCAAGAGAAGCCGGGCCTGTTTTCCTCGGGGGAAGATGCCCAGAGCAGTAGCTCAAAGCACGAGTTGGAGTGAGACTTACAGGTGGGGACCTCCTGGCAGGCCGTCACTACACCTATGCTCCAGGTGTCCTGCCTCGAATGCCTGCCCCTCGGGGCTCCCGGCCAGCCTCAGGCTTGCAGGGGTGCGTGACCCCATGTGCCCGCAGTGGCCCCTGGACCCTAGCCCCGGCCGCGTACCCTGTGTTGCACACACAGCTGCATCAGAGCCCGGCCAGGGAAGCCCCGTCTGGCTCTGGGTGCGAGGCGGGCTGGGCGGACCTGGCCCCCTGTCTGGCGGCTGCTGTGGGGGCAGCAGCGAGCAGGGTGGGCCGGCTGGCGACCAGCAGGCGAGATGGGGGGCCGGGCGGGGCTGAGCCTGAAGGGCGCTGCCTGAGGCCCGGGTCCTCGCCTCCTGCCGGGCCTGGGGGGGGGAAGGAGCAGCCTGGGAAGCCCCGTTCCAGGCGCTGGTGACGCGGGGCATCCCGCAGACAGACAGGCCCCCTGGCCGACGCTCGCTCTGCCTGTGCTGTAGGTTGGACCCCCTTCCCTTCTGGGGGGCACTTAGCTCCAGGGTGTGGCTGGGCAGGGCCAGGGCGCCTCAGGGGCACAGACCCCCCCCAGGCCAGAGAGGGGTCTGCCTGGCGCTACTCGGAGTTACCAAGTAGGGTTTCAGGGACCCATGCAGGAGATGCGGGGGGCAACGCTGCCACTGTGGGGGGCCAGCCTCCCAGGCAGATCCAGAGCAGAAGAGGCCCTGCCACGGCGGAGGGCTCAGCCTCCTCCCCAGGTGGACATACCTGTGACCTCCCGCAGGGTGGACACTTGTCCCACCTCAGCTGCACTGTCCTCCCATGGGGGCCTGGGGCCTGGCGCAGGTGGCGGGAGGCTGAGTCAGCCTTAGCCCTCCTCTGGCTGGCGGGGAGCTGGGCGGGGCGGCCTCACCAGACGCCTCCCCCTCCCCAGAGCTCCTAGAGCCCCGGCAGCTCCAGCACTGAGTGCTGCTGGGAGGGAAATCAGACCCCCCGCCCCCCGCCCCCCGCAGCCCGTCAGCAATTCAATTTGTGCTGCACCGAGGGACGGTGTTAGTCGAGTCAGAGTTAATATGATGTATTGATGGGTTATTTCCCACTGGCGGGCTCCTCGGGGCTCTGCTTCTGGGCCCCCCGCCGGCGTCTGCCCTGGGGGTCAGGGCCGGTGTGGCGGCCGGGGCGGGACTCGCCTCCACCGTGGTCTCCTTGCTTCTCCAGCTCCGGGGTACCCCAGGTTTTCGGGGAGTCTGGCATCCACCTTCCTACCCGTGAGCCACTTGGATCACCATGGAAACAGCAATGTTCTCTACGGGCAGCACCGTTTCTATGGAACCCAAAAAGGCAAGTGCGGCATGGGGTGTAGGGCGTCCTGCAGGAGATGGGGGTGGGGGGCTGGGCGCCAGGCGTCCTGGGGCGGGGGTGGGGGTGGGGAGAGGGGTGCCTGCCACTCAGGCGCCGCAGGATTCAAACCTTGAGGCCAGGACCGCCCCGGGCAGCGGGTTAGGTGTGCGGGTCTCACGGGCTCCCGGTGCTCAGGTGCAAGCAGCAGAGGGGCTGGCGCCAGCTTCCCGGGGACCTGGCCTCGGCCGAGCTCCCGGGGTGGCTCAGGAGGAGAAGCCAGCAGGTGGGGGCTGGAGGAAGCCACTGAGGCCTGCGTCCCCTGGCCCCACGCTCCCTGGGCCCGGCTGCACCTGGGCTACGTGACCCCAGCCCCCGCCGGTCCTGACGTCAGGGCGGTGCTGGCTGGCCATGGGCAGGGGCAGCGGCCCTGTTCCTGTGCACAGGGGGGCCACTCACCCTGCTGGCAGGGGGCGTCCCCAGAGAAGGGGCGCGGAGTTTGAACCTTTGCTGATGAGAAGACGGCCAGTGAGGCCTGGGGGAGGGAGGGCCCAGCACAGGCCTGCGCCGTGGGCAGGCCCCGCGGTCTGGGAGCCTGTAAGAGCTCCCGCCCGGCTGGAGGTGTCCCTGCCTCCAAGTTGAGTTTTTTCTTGAGTGAGGTGACATCTCATTCGCATTTTAGGAAGCTCCTATTTAGGAGGCACGTTTTGGGAGGCTGGGCCAGGACGACCCACAGGGTTAGAGACCACGTTTCAGGGACTCGCGGTGTGGACGCAGGGTCCCCTGGAGGCCGGAATCAGCGAGAGCAAGGATGAGGCTGGGGCAGGGAGGGATGGAGGGCCCAGGTGACCCCGTTCCTGGCCTAGGCTGTGGGGAGCAGCAGTTCAGAGGGGATGGGTGCGTACCGTGGGGTGGGGGTCTCCCAGGGGGGGTCCAGGAGGTGGCTGGCCACACACAGTGGGGTCAGTGTGCCAAAGCGTGGGTCAGCAAGGCTGACCCTCCGGGTGGAGAGGGCAGATGAGAAGCGGGCGAGGGCTGGCAGCTTCCTCTGCAGCCCGAGGAGCCCCGTGTTCAGGGCTGGGGAGCAGAGTAGGCCCGGGAGGCCCATGGTGCCCCGTGGGGAGAGAAGCTGGGGGACCCCAGTGAGCCGTGCCCTTGAGGGGCCTGTGGTGCTGGGGGCCGCCTGAGGCCCACCCTCTGCCACCACCTCCACTGCCCTCAGCCCCTGCCCCCTGCCCGCCCACCAGGACCTGTGTGCCCCTCAGCCCAGCCCGCACCTTTCCTTTGGCTGTACTGGCCGTCGTGATGGGTGCAGGCAAGGAGGGCCCTGTGGGGGCCACACAGCCCTCCAGGAGAGTCGGGTCTTACCCTGGGCGCTCAAGAATCCCAGCTGTTGGGGTGGGAGGCCAGGGCCCCGCTGCCCGAGGACGGCCCCCAGGGGCCGCGGCTGGGTCCCAGACGCCCGCGTCAGCCCCGGCGCGTGCGGGTATTTTGACAGCGTCCGTCAGGCGGGCAGGTGCTGGTCCCAGCCTGGAAACCCGACCCCTGAACCGGAGCCCGGGACTCCCTCCGGGCAGTGGGCCTGCCGGTGTGGGGAGCACAGGCCGCCTCTGGCTTTCACAATATTGTGGTAGAGCCTCGTCCAAGAACATTATTTGGTTTTGGAAATTGAGCTAATTAGGTTTCTCCCGGGCTACCCCGTCCTTACTCCCCTTCCCCCTTGTTTCTAATTAGCAGGAAATTGACAAGGAATTTACATGACTGAGGACAATTTTACAAGTTCCAAATGTTCCTTTTGTTCGCCCCCTTGTCAGCTCTTGGCGTCCACCCTGCCGCCCACCCACCCCGCTGGGTGCGGGGAGAGGCAGCCCCCCAGAGCCCCCCAGAGGCAGTGACCTGGTCCCAGCTCGGGCAGGGACCTGCGCAGAGAGTGGGGGGGTGTGGCCCTGGCCTGTGGGCTGGGTCCCTGGTGCTGCAGAGGGAGCCCAGAGCCACGATGGGGCGAGTCCAGCTGCCTCTCTCTCGCGCGCCCTTCCTTCCTCCTGTTCTGACCCATCACCCGGGCCGACCGGCCCGAACACCCGCAGTGAAGATGCTGAGGGGCTGGGGCTAGGAGACCCCAGGGTGCCCTGGGTGCAGGAGAGCCAGGTGCACACCCAGGCACCCTGGGCGTCCCTCCCTCCTCACAGTCACTAAGAGCCCGCCTGACACGACACCTGTCCTTGGTGTCTATGGTTCTGACACCTGTCCGTAAAGACCCTGCGGGTTTGTGCTCCGTGAACGCTCACCTGCGCCCACCCACGCACCTGCCCCTCACCGGGCCGGCCGCCAGGTGTGTGCATCGCCCACCTCCGGGCGGAACCGGACAGAAGTCAGACCCTCGGTGGGGGGACAGCGAGTGCTTTCCAGGGACAGAGTTTTGTTGTGTGTGTGTGTGTTTCGCTACAGTTTTAGGGGGAAAAGCCCAAACCAAGACCCTCCCTAGACAGAGAGGGTGGGTCAGTGCCAGCTGGGGCTGGAAGAGCACCTGGCGCGTCTGGGGGTGTCTGTGCCCCCCGGCCTGCCCGTGACCCGGCTCTTCTGCACACAGATAACTTCTACCTGCGCAACCTGCCCCCCCAGCCCGCCCTCCTGCCCGCCAACCACAACTTCCCCGGCGTGGCGCGCGCCGCTCCCACCCACCCCATCGGCTCCTGCAGCCGGGACCGGGGCGAGGCCGGCCCCCTGCAGAAGGGCCCCAAGGAGTTCGACCGCTTCCTCATGGGCAAGGAGCTGGGCAGAGAGAAGGCCGGCAAGGCGGCCGAGGGCAAGGAGCGCCCCGTGGCTGAGGAGGACGGTGGCAAGGAGCGGCACAAGCTGGTGCTGGCCGACGGGCACTGCAAGGAGGGCGTCCCCGTGCCGCGAGGCCCCTGCGAGGGCCGCCCCAAGCACCCCACCTCCTGCCTCCTCAACGCCAAGGCCCTCGACGGCGACACGGGCAAGGCCGCGCTGGCCAGCTGCGCGGGGGGCACGCTGGGGCGGCCCGGAGCGGGGGTGGCGGCCCCCGGGCGCTGCGCGAAGGAGGTGGTGGGCCCCGTGGAGCCCGGGCCGGCCTTCGGCGAGTGCCTGGAGCGGCGGCAGATGCTGCACCACGCTGCGTCCTACTCGGTGCCCTCAGGCCTGCCCGCCGGGCCTCCCCCTGCCCTGGGCACTGCCGCCGGCTCCTTCTCCTGCCTGCAGCTGCACGGGGGGCCCGACGGGCTCTGCCCACTGCAGGACAAAGCCCCCCGGGACCTGAAGGCCAGCGGGCCCACCTTTGTGCCTTCCATGGGTCACCTCGCCGACAAGAGCCGCCCCTTCCAGGCGGCCGAGGCCTGCGCCGTGGTGGGTGAGGGCAAGGACCGGCACCTGGAGGGGGCCGCGGCCGCTGACCACGCGGCGCCCTACGGAGTGTCCTATGCCCACCTGAAGGCCGAGGGCGCGGGTGAGCGCCGGCCTGGGGGCTTTGAGGCAGCCCTGAACCCCCGGCTGAAGGGCCTGGAGTATCTCAACAGCGCGGGCCCTGAGGCCTCCTTCCCGGGGCTCCCCAAAGGCTGTCTGGACAAAAGCGGCTATTTCGAGTTGCCTACCCCTTCCCAGGACTGTGCCCGGCCCGGTCACCAGGACCCGCTGGGCGGGAAGACCGCCACCCAGGCCTGCTGCACTTTAGAGAAGGCCGCCAACAAGGAAGCCCCCGCAGGCGTTCCCGGGACCCAGAAGGTGGCCCGGATCCGGCATCAGCAGCACTTGGTGGCCCCCGAACCGGAGCCAGGGGGCACTGGGGCCGAAGCCAAGCGCAAGTCCCTGGAGCTGGCCTGCCTGGGCTACGGCGGGTCCCACCTGCCCCCGTGGGGCGTGCAGGCGGGCCAGGGCACCGCCGTGGCCATCAGCGAGGAGCACAAGGCGGGCGCCTACCTGGACCCCTTCGGCAGCGGCCTGCAGCAGGCGGCCCTCCTGCCCCAGGAGCTGCCCGCCCCGCCCGGCGAGGTCTCGGCCATGAAGAACCTGCTGAAGTACAGCAACCAGGCCCTGGTCGTGGGCCAGAAGGCACCGTTCGTGAGCCTGGGCGGCCTCAAGGCCAGCTGCGTGCAGCAGGAAGCCAAGTTCCCGTCCTCCAAGGGCCCCGGCCAGGCGGAGAGGCCGGACTGCGCCCGCAGCCGGGAGCACGATGCCCCGCACGGTGACGGGGAGGCGCGGCAGCCGCCCGTGGGCATCGCGGTGGCCTTGGCCCGGCAGAAGGATACAGTGAGCCGGTCGGAGACGGCGTATGGTGCCAACACCGGGCGGCAGGGCCGGGCTGCCCCTGCGTTCAAAGGTACGGCCCCCGGGAGGGAGGAAGGCCCTGCCCGCCCTGTGAGCCTGCTCAACCCCCCACCTGCACCCGGCAGACTCTCCGAGGCCCCGGGGCCGGGGGACCCTCCCTCGGGGCCTCAGTCCCCTGGCTCGAAGTGGGGTCACTGCCTGCTTCCGTCAGTGGCTCCCAACCCTCTTTCCCGATCCCCTGTCTCTCCCCTGCAGCCGGTGGGGGTGCCCGCTCCGCACACGCGCTGGACCTGGAGGCCGAGGAGGAGAGGACGAGGCTGTGTGAGGACCGTCTGGGCCTGGCTGGCCGCGAGCTGCTGCTGCAGTAAGAGCCTGGCCGTGGCCTGGGGGTGGGGTCAGCCCCCTGCGCGCTGGTCGGGTCCGTGGCCCAGCCCGGGCAGGTTACGCAGCTGCTCCTGCTCCCCTCTGGGTCTCTCAGTGCTGGAGGGCTCTGCTGATGCCCACCCCCAACACGGCCACTGCCAGGCCTGGAGTTTGGGGTCACCCCTCCCAGGCTGGTGGCTGTGGGCTGCCGGGGGCCCACGGTGGCAGGGCTGAGCACCGCCGTGATCTTGCAGGGACAACAAAGACCTCGTGGACTTTGCCCGGATCCACCCGTCCGGCGGCTGCCCCGGAGACCTGGCCCCCCACCTCATGATGCAGGGCGGCCAGCTGGGTGGGGACCCGGCCCCCCACCCTGCCCACCCCCCCTGGCTGCCCCGCACTCGCAGCCCCTCCTTGTGGATGGGGGGACACTCGTACGGTCAGTGCTGGGGAAAGGCAGGGGGCTGGCCTGGGGCTGATCGGGGTCCTGCTCTGACCTCCACTGTGCCCTCCCCACAGGCCTGGGGCACCCCGCCCTGCACCAGAACCTGCCCCCCGGCTTCCCTGCCTCTGTGGCTGGCCCCGTGCCCTCCGTCTTCCCCCTGCCCCAGGACGCCCCCACACAGCTGGTCATCCTGCCCTCGGAGCCCGCGCCCCACAGCGCCCCGCACGCGCTCGGTAAGGGCCTGGCCAGGCCACCTGCCGTGGGGCTGTGGGAGGAGGGGTGGCCTCTGAGGGGCAGTGAGCTCTCAGCAGGGAGCCACGAGCCAAGGAGCAGCCCCAGACCGTCCACCCCTGCCCTCTCTCTGGCCCTGCCTGCAGCGGACGTCATGGACCAGGCCTCGCTGTGGCCCTCCATGTATGGCGGCCGGGGCCCCGCCTCCCACATGCAGCACGCGGGCCAGCTCCCCGTGTACTCGCGCTCCCAGCTGCTGCGGCAGCAAGAGCTCTACGCGCTGCAGCAGCAGCAGCAGCAGCAGCAGCAGCAGCAGCAGCAGCAGCAGCAGCGGGCAGCCCAGGCCCTGGAGCTGCAGCGGGCCGCCCAGTTCCAGGTACCCCGGACCAGGGCAGTCCCCTCCCTGCCTGTGTGGACCCGGCCTGGTCTGGGGACCCCCTTATGCCTGAGGCGTGGGAGTGGGGGCGCCACGCCCGGCTGAGCCTCTCCCCCCGACCCCAACAGCGGAAGCCAGAGGACCACCACCTGGAGCTGGAGGAGCCCGCCCAGGAGAAGGCCCTGAAGTCCACCCACAAGCCAGTTGCCTTAACCCCCTCGGCCCAGGGCGCCCCCTCGCCCACCACCGGCCCCATCAAGCTGCCACCTTGCTGCCACCCACCCACACTGAAGCCCCCCGCCAGCTGCCCCACGCCCCCGCCGCGGCCCGGCGCCCCGTGCACTTTACCCGTCTGCCCCGCCGGCAGCCCCGGGCCTGGCTCCAAGGTGCCCAGCGCCAAGGACGAGAGCGGGGATGGCCGGCGGCCCGGGGCCGGCGTTGCCTCGTTAGAACCAGGTGAGAGCACGCGGCTGGCCTGGCCCGGCGTGGACTCCACGCAGCCCTCCCGTGCCCAATCAGGGCTGCTGCTCCACACCCGCAGAGGGGTGCCCCTTGCCCACCGAGGCCCCATCAGGGCCAGCGCACTGTGGCTTCCCTCCGTTCTGTCCCCCGAGAGCCTCCATCCTCGTGGACGATCCGTGGGAGGGACACACGGCGTCCCAGCAGCCTCCTTCCCAGCCCTCGGCAGATGGGGTGGGACAGAGGCCAGGGGTCAGGCCCACCCCTGGAGGCTCTGGAGTGAGAAGTGCCTGTGCCCGTCCCGGCTGCTAGGCTGGCACAGCTGGGCAGGGCAGGGAGCTGGCCCCGGCCACAGCCCTGGCCCCGCGGCCGCCCGCCCATTCGGTTCTCTCTGAATTAGGCTGAGAGTTTACGCTGGAAACCCGTGCGGTGAACATAAAACCCGTCCTAGTTTCACAATAAGGAGACTGAGCCAACAGAGGGCTTTTTTTTTTTTCCCTTAGTTTTTTTTTTTTATTGCAGTTAATGGGGCGTAATGCCTTCGACACGCTGCCGGCGCGTTCTGGTTCAGGGAAAGCCCTGATTCAAGCATCGTGTTTTAAAAATCCCTCTTTTCTGGTGAGCCGCACACACCATGCCAGCGACGGCCCCGAGGACCCCCAGGGCTGCGGCAGGAGGGGCTCCAGGCTGCCCTGCCTGGGGAGGAGGGCCAGCCCGGCCGGCCTCGGGCTGCCCCTTAATTAACGTGACACTTTCCCATGAGTCTTGTGGGCCTGGCGGGCTGACCCTCCCTCCTGGGCTCGGGTCCCCCTGTTCGGGGCTTGAGGCCCCTGTCCCCATCTTCTAACAGCCACGACGCCTCCCCGGCTCCCCGGCTCTCTCCTGACCCCTGACCTCTGGCCTCCCTCCTGCTCTCTTGCAGACCTGCCTCCTGGGTACACGCGCCCCATGGCCAGCGCGGGCTTCTCCTCCTCCCTGCCCTCAGACCTGCACTCATCTGACCTCGAGGACCCCGAAACTATGCAAACCGCCGCCCCAGGGGCCCAGCCTGAGCCTGCAAGGACGTTCCTGCCCGGGGAGCTGCCCCCCTGCGGCCCCCTGAGCCTGGAGGAGCCCGGGCTGCTCCTGGGGGCCCGGGAGGTCGCCCAGAACCTCGCCGCCACCTCCCGCCCCGCCGAGCGGGGAGCCCAGGGGACAGCAGCGGACCCCAGCCCACTTGAGGGGCTGCAAGAACTGCCGTGCGGGGCCCTCCTCGAGGGAGGGGTCCCCGAGGCCACCATCCAGGCTCGTTCTACTCAGGGAGGGGCGCAGGAGGAGAGGAGCAGGGGGGAGCAGGGCGAGGAGCGGGAGCAAGGGCCCTCGCTGGGGGCCTCCCCGCCGGCCCTGGAGCAGCAGGCAGGGAGCCCCGGCGGCCTGGGGGAGGAGGGGGCGCGGCTGGCCCCAGAGGAGGCCGAGCTGGAGCCTGAGACAGTGGACTCAGAGGAGGAGCAGGGGGCAGCTCCCGACGACAGCCCCCCGCCCAGGGCAATGCCGGGCCTGGACGCTTTGGTGGCCGCCACCATCGACCTGGGGGACCTGCCAAGCGGTGGCCTACTGGACCCTCAGCCCCTGGCGGCCTCCAGGCCCCCCAGCACAGCCGCCCCGCCCAGCAGCTCAGGGATTCACGGGATTGCTCTGCTCAGCGAGCTGGCGGACCTGGACACCCAGCGGCAGCGGAGCGAGCAGGCCGTGCCAGGTGAGCCCCGGCGGGCACTGCCACCCTTCCCAGACCCCAGGGGCTGGACTCGGGCCCTGGGTCTGGATCAGCCGGCCAGACGGCAGCCCTGGGCCTTGCTCAGTTGTCCCCGCAGTGTGGCGAGTCCCAGGGGGTGTCCCTCTCCACCACCTCCATCTCCGTGGGAGGGACACACGCATCCCAGGGCCCGGCCACTTGTTTTTGCGATGTGTGAAGCGCGCCCCTACCGCGCCGTGTGTGCTGCGAGGTGCAGCGAATGTCCGCGTGAGGGCCCGTGTCACTCCTGCTGGGACTGCAGGGCCAGGCTGTCTGATTGAAGCCCGCCGCTGGCGGTCCCTGGGCAGGGCTGGGGGCTGCCTGCCCTTGGAGTGCATCTGGGGGGCCCTGGGCACCCCCTGATCCTGGGAAGGGCTGTGCAGAGGAGAGGAAGCCAGAGCTCCTGCCGGTGTGGGCGCCCAGCTGCACCCCCAGGCCTGGGCTGCCCGGGCCCCACCATGGCAGGGACACCCAGGGGAAGACAGGCACGTGTGGCAGGGCTGCCGGTCTGCATAGCAGAGAGCCTGCTGGACCAGAGCCCGTTTGTTAAATCCTCAGGCGTAGGCCACGTGGCCTTGGTGGGGAGTCACTTAGCATAACCCGGCACGGGTGTTGTAAGTGTCCAGCCCGGCCGGTGCCATGGTCACCAGGGTGTGTGTGTGACAAGAGGCAGCCACAGCAAGCCGCCGCCAGCCACATCTCCACCCTCCCCTGCCCTCCTGAGCCCCTGGGCCCCACCCTCCCCTTGTCCCAGTTACTGGGCTGGTCCTGTGCCGCCGCTCTGTCGGAGCCTTTCCCTGCCAGTGTGGTGACCGCTTTGCTGAAGTTAGGAGGTCAGAGGTCAGCCTCGTCCCGTGCCAAGTGGTAGGATTTGCAGGGGGAGTGAGGGGAGAAAGTCCTGAGGATCCCGGGCCAGCATAGAGCCCAGGAGTGGGGCATGGAGCCCAGGGAGCCGGCGAGTGGCCCGGGCCCACCCCCAGGCCTGGCAGAGCCCTCTGTGCGAGGCCAGGTGGGGGCCACCCACGCATGGTCTCCAAGCGCAGGGCAAGAACGGGGCCTCTGACCAATAGCCATGGCTCCAAAAGGCCGGGAGACCTGGGACTTTTCACAGGAAGGGGCTCCCAGATGGGCCTCCCTGGCCGCTGGTGGTGGGCAGCTCGGCTCACTACAGGAAGAGAGCCCCTCAGCCCTCCCCCCTGCCATTCCCTGGGGACCGGGACCCAGCATCCTGTCTCCAGGACTGAAGGTTTCCGAGCTGGAGCTCTGTGGCCTTGGCCCGGAAGGTGCTCCTGGAGCTGTAGGCACCCCACTACCCCTCTGGGCACCTCCTGGCTTCTTTGCCATGGCCTTGGGGATGAACCAAGCCCCGGTCCTCTGGGCTCTGCCCCCCTGCTCTGAGTGGGCATCACCACCTGCCTGTCACCGTGTGGATGGCCCCACTGCCTGGGGTGGCCAGAGCTTCCTCCTGCCTCGGCCCAGCCCGGCTCTCACTGACCCCCACCCTGGCCCCAGAGCCCGGTTCCTTTCGGTGGAGAACGGTGTTTCTATATTCTGACCAACGTTGCCAGTTGCCCCTGGGGACATGACCACCTCCATCCTGACCCCACGGGGGCCTTCTGGTCTGACCCCTTCCTGCTTGTCACCCACCGTGACCCTAGGATGTCCTGTGGGACCTGCCGTGTGCGCCCAGTCCCCTCCCCACGGCCGGCCTTTCCCCTGAATGGACGCCACCTTCCGCCAGCTCATGCTCTGGCCCCGCGTTGGGCCAGCCCTCCCCCACCAGGGCTGCAACACCTGTGCCACTGTCCCAGGTTTCTGTTGTTCTTGCCAGTCACCGTGAGGACAGCCTCTCCGCCACCCCCCAGCCTGAGCCCCAGAGGACACGGCCTCCCCCTGCCACCTTCCCTACCCTGGGTCAGCCGTGTCCTCCCCGTCTGCCCCGGGCAGAGCATGCTAGAGTGTCACATGCCTGGGAAAGGACCTGGAGGAACCAGCATGGCCATGGGGGCCGGGGGGCGGGCATAGGGAATGGGGAGGTGTCCCAAGAGAAGGCGGAAGAACACAGGTGCCTTCTGAGAAGGGGCTAAGGCTGCACCTTGGGCCAGGACCAGCCTCCACCCACCGGAAACGCCAGCCAGCTGCCCTCCCCACGAGGACTTGAGGGACACCCCCACACGTTGGCCGGTGGCCTCCCTGCAGCCATGGCTGCTCGGGTAGCCCCACAGGTGGGCAGGTGGATGGACTGCCAGACAGAGGGACAGGTTAGCTGTGGTGCCATACGCCAGCCCCTGGGGTCACCGGTGGTTGGTGAGGCTCAGGTGCACCTGCCTGCACTGTCTGCCCTGTGACTGAGCTTGGGTCATGGTTGACGCCTCCAGGTCCCCAGCCCCGGGCGTCAGCTTTTGGCTTTCCTAAAGCCTCTCGTGGCACCGCTTGTGTCTCTGAGGGCACCGGAGCAAGTGTCAGTCCCAGGGCTGCTGCGTGAAGTGCGGCCTCCCGGGTGGGTGCTGGCGCCAGCCCTGCTGCCGGAAGCTGTACTGTGCGTCCGGCTTCACTTCCAGGCTCAGGGCCCTGCCGTGTTCTGTAGGGGGTGGGCCCTGCTCCAGGGGCTCGCACCCTCCCAGCTGCCCCACACTGTAGCCAAGGAGGATCCTCCCTGGCCCGGACCCAGGCAGGGGAGGGGGTGCCAGCCCTGGTGCCCACCTGCCCCTCCCGAGGGCCTGGCCCTTGTCTTTGTTCCCCACGTCCTGGGGAGCTGGGCAGCCTCAGAGCCGACCGCAAGAGCCTCTCGGAGGGGCAGGGTGTGCCCGCCAGCAGCCACACTGACCTTCCCATCCCCCCAGCAGAGGAGGAGGAGGATGTGCTGGCCTTCAACCTGCAGCACTTGGCCACGCTGGCCACAGCCTGGTCCCTAGTGGAGGCCGCTGGCCTGGACGTCCCCACCGCCTCTGCACAGCCCCCCGCTGCCGAGCCCTGCGGCGGCCCCAGGCTCACGCCCCGCATGCAGATCCTGCAGCGAAAAGACACCTGGGCCCCCAAGACCAAGCCTGTGAGTGGGGGCGCGGTTGGGGGGTCCTGCTGCCCAGTGGCCTGGAGCGCGGCAGGACGGGACCCGAACACCCAGGCTGCCCCGTCGGCCCTGTCCTGGGCCCCGGCCCGGCTCACCAGCCCCTGCGCCCTGCCCACCAGGTGTGCCCCCTGAAGGCGGCCATTGACCGGCTGGACACGCAGGAGGTGGAGATGCGCATGCAGCTGGCGGAGCTGCAGCGGCGCTACAAGGAGAAGCAGCGGGAGCTGGCCCGCCTGCAGCGCAGGCACGACCACGAGTACGGCCGGGGCAGGTGGGAGGGCCGGGGCAGGCGGGAGGGCCGGGCCCAAAGCACCCACACCCACACCCACACCCGAGGGCTCCCACGCGGCTCTGCCCACGGCCTGTGGGGGGAAGCTGGGGTCTAGCTGATAGGCCCCCCGAGGCAGGGGTACTCGGCAAGACCTGAGGGGTGAGGCATTCAGCCACGGGGGTTCCCATGGAGGAGCCGGAGCAGAGGCTGGTGCTGGGGAGAGGCTAGTCCAGGGGGCGGTGGGCTGAGCAGGGAGATGGCAGAAGGGGGCTGGGAGGCCAGAGCGGGAGTTGGGGGCTTCTCTGGGAGCAGAGCAAACCCCAGAGTCGCAGCAGGGTGCGGTGCTCCCCTGAGCAGCGTGAGGGTGGCTGGCAGCGGGAGGCAGGGAGGTGGGGCGGCTCCCGGCCTTGCCCTCTGCCTGCAGGGCCGGGCTCCCCAGGACACGTCTGGGGGCCCCTGTCCCTCTGCTAGACCCTGTAAGCAAGCCAGGGTGGGCATGAGCCTCTGACTGCCCCTCTGGGCCCCCAGGAGAGAGGAGAGCTCCCGCAGCCCCGCACGGCGCGGGCCCGGCCGGCCAAGGAAGCGCAAACACTCCAGCTCGCTGCCCGCCCTGCGGCCTGGGGGCCAGCTCGCCAGGACCGAAGGCAAGAAAGTCAAGTGAGTCCTGGACTCGGGGCCACCGCAGGGTGCCGTGGGTAGGCTGGGGCTGGCCCCGGGGCCTTGAGTCGGGAGCACCAAGGTCTGGGTTCCTCTGCCCCGGCCCAGCTCCCTGGGCTGCGGGGGCCCCTGCACCCCTTCTCCTTCTGTGAAGCCCAGTACCTGCCTCCCGCACGCTGGGCCGTCATGAGTGACAGTGGCACAGCCCTGCTCCGGGGCAGGCGCCCAGCCCCGGTCCCCTCCCTCCGCTGCACTCGGCACCGCCCTGGACCCGTCCGCCAGGGAAGCCACCGCCCCAGCGCTTGGCCACGTCAGCTCCACACACCTGGTGTGGCCACGGCCGTGGCATCACCCCCCGCCCGGCGCCCCCCGCCCGGCCCCCTTTGCGTGCGAGGCGGCGTTGCGTAAAAGCCTCTTTATCTGCGCATATAAAGCCGTTGGTCACGCTGTGGCGCGGCCCGCGGCTGCCGGCGCGATGTTATTATCCATTACCCGCCCGGTGCAGTCGTTGGCGCACTCCCGGGCCTGGTATAATTGTCCTTCTCGGCTACAAATTGCCTCTCCCGGCAGGCCCATTTGCATAAATCCTCCGAGCTCCTCCAAACACGATTGGCGCGCGCGCGTGTGCGCTGCATCAATCCTGATGATTTGGTAATAATAGTTAAATCGGCACTAAATGGTTCCTTCAATTAAGACGGAGGCAAAAAATTAATCTCGGGGCTTTATGTCACAAAACATTAGCGAATGCAGAGAAGGTTACAGGGAGGAGGAGAGGGGCCGCTCGCGGGCTGTGGGCGACGGCGGGATTCACCATATGGCTCCCCCCGCCCCGAGCTGTCCCTCCGCCCTGCCCAGGCGTCACCCTGCGCAGGTCTCCAGGGCTGTCCCTCCGAGAACCAGCCAGCACCGGGTGGCTGAGGGCCCCTGCAGGCCAGGCCAGGTCTGGCCGGGAGGGTGTGGGCCCCGTGCTTCCCCAGCCAGGCCAGCGGGTGCCCCTCTGTGCCCCCCCTGGCACAACCCCAACCTGGAAGCCACCTTTGCTCGGACTCTGAGAAAGCAGGCCTTGGCTGGAAGGGCTCCTGCCTGCACAGGGACGGGCCTCCGGCCTCTCCCGGCCGTCTCGGGCCCCTGTGCTGTTGGCCGGCAGTTGGGCCCAGGGGACAGGCCTCCTGCTCCGCAGGAACTGGGGGGGCTGGGGCCTGTGCGGGGCCGCGGGACCCTGTGGTGGCTTCCTGCCCGGCCGCATCTCTGGGCAGGAAGGTGAAAGGGGACGTCCGACCACACAAGGCCAGAGCTCTCAGTCTCCATCTGTGACTTGTTCTTGGGAACAGCCAGGGCTCTCTGCACGAGTGGACGGGGTGGGGAGGTGCGAAGGTGAGAGCCGGGCCCCCACCCCCCGGGCCCCTGTCTGGCCAAGGGCAGGCAGACGAGCTTCCCCAGCCTCGGTTTCCCCATGTGAAACGGAGGTGGGAGGGGAAGGGAGGCATGCACTGGGCACACGGGGGTGCTGGGGAGGGTGAGGCCCCTACACAGTGTGGGGAGTGGGGTGCCCCCACCAGGTGGGGAGCCCAGGATGTAGGGGGGCATCAGGCAGGGCATGTTCTGGGGTGTCTGCAGGGACCTGCTGGGCTGACCCTGCCGTAGCTCACAGCCTTGAGGGGACAGCACACCAGTGGGGCTAGGGGAAACTGAGGCTCTGTCTCAAGCCATTCCCCAAGCTCTATCTGGGACATGGGGGTACAGGGTGCCCCTCCATCGAGACCCGTGTGGACAGCAGGGGATGGAGTTCCCAAGAGGGCCTGAGCCTGGCAGCAGGGGCTCCCTGGGGCTGCCACCCCACCCCACCCCGTGGCCTCGGGTTTACCCATCCTCTTCCTGGCAGTGCCAGAAATGTTCAGAGTGGCCCTGTTCTCATGGACCATTCCGGCATCCTCTTTGTTCCTGACGTGGGAACATCTGGCCTGCGTCGTCCTCACCCAGCCATGACTTTCCCGTTTCCCAGGTGGCAAGGCTGGGACCACGGCTCCCCGACATGGGGCTGCCTCCCAGGGAGCCAGGGCCCCGCCCGTCCCGCTGCCCGGCCTCTGGTCACCACAGCCATGACCGGGGCCTCCCGAGGGCGTCCCTTCCCAGCAGGGTGGAAGGACAGGGTGTGGGAGACAGAACCATCCCCGTTTCCAGCACGGCTGAGCAGGGGGAGGCAGGGCTGGGGGCCTCGGGCTGCAGAGGGCCCGGGGATCAGCAGGTGACCGGTGCCGGCTCGGCCCTCCACGGGGTAGGGCTCCCTTGGGCACACAGGCTGCAGCCCTGTGACCCATCACAGGGACTGCATTGCCACAGCGCCTGCCTCTGCCCTGCACCCACGCTGACCCCCACCCCCACCCCACATCCTAGGGCGGTGCGGACCAGCCTCAGCCGGCTGTGTGCGGAGCTGCGGGGAGCGGGCGGGGGCGAGCCCACCCCAAAGCGAAGCAGGCTGGAGAAGAGCGTCTACCTGCAGGCAGCCTCCCTGGTGAGCCCCCGCCCCCACCCTCTGCGGACACCCGGCTGCGAGTCCCGTTGCTCAGATGAGCAAACCAAGGCTCGTGCGCTTCCGGGGCCCCACAGCAGGCGGAGCCCCTGCACCCACGGGTGTGACGAGGGGCTGTGATGCCTCGGCATACCTTGCGGGCAGGTCCCCCCTGGCGGCTGGCCCTCCACCTGCTCCCGGGCGCTCCCTCCTTGGCTCTGGCCGGCCAGTGGTGTGTTCTCTCAGCAGAACGACTCTGCGGGAGCCAGGGCCCTGCCCTCCCGGAGATGGCTCTGAACTGGACACGGGCTCCCCGGGGCCATCACCTTGCTTGTCCCCCCAGACGAGAGTCTGGTCCTTCTGTCCAGGATGCCCGCTCTGGTTCCTCCCCTTTAGGAAAGCACAGAGCCTGTCCCCATGACGCCCATGCGCCTCAGTGGGTGGGCAGCGGGGGGCTGTGCAGCCAGGGACACCGGCCAGATGTCCCCTCGGCCCCTTTTGAGGGCGAGGCCCTGTGGTGCCACCCCAGCCAGGCATCGGCAGAGCCGTGCGACAGGCAGGGGCTGGGCTGGGGCGGGGGCCCCTGAGAGTGCAGCCGTCGCCTCCCGTCCGCAGGAGAAGGCACGATGCAAGAAGAGCAGCGGCCAGAGCGGGCTGGCGTCCTCAGTGGCCCATAAGGCGGCCCGGCTGAAGCCAAAGGTCAAGGGCAGGGGCCTGCCCTCGGGCCTTGGCCCCTTCCCGCGGGCAGAGGTGAGCCCAGGGGGACGCATCCGCAAGGAGCTGTCCCGAGCCAAGAGCACCAAGGCGTCCAGGGCAGCCCGACGCCCACAACCCGAGGGCGATGTCGGCAGGGAGATGCCCAGATTCCCCACGCGGCCGGCAGTGGCCTCGTCCCACGAGGCAGGCAAGTTGTTGCTGCGGGCGTCCGCCGGGTCCCGGCGGGGGAGGGGGGGCAGGGAGGACCTCTCACCAGGCAGCTGGGGGAGGAGGGGAGGGTCTCAGGATGGAGACCCCCTTCCGGAGGCAGCACGGGGGCGGCGGGTGTCTGTGTGCCCTGCCCCCACACAGGGCTGGGGGAGGAAGGAGGCCCCTGGTCACATCCCGGAAAACGGGGTTAAAAATAGCCCTCCTGCCTGCTCCAGCCGCCATGCACACGGGTTCAGGCCAGGCCGACCGGGGGTTTATCTGGCCCCGGCGAGTGAGCACATGTCCAGAACAGGAGCCGTGAAAAGTAGAATCTTCCTCCCCCAGTCCCCGCAGGCCTTCCCCGGGGGTCTCAGGTGCCTGGAAAGGACAAAGGGCACTGCTTCGGGCTGGGGGCGGCATCTGGGCCAGAGACAGCAGAGGCTGCCTGACGGGCGCCTAGTTGCCCAGGGAGAAGGAAGGTGCCCACCCCGCCCCGCCCAGGCGCCCTCAGCCTGGAGGCCGTGACCCGTTCCTGCCGCTGCGGCCCCGCAGAGCAGCCGATGGTGGCAGCGATGGGGCTCTGCTCGCCCTGCGGTGATCCACGCCCCACCCCAGACACACCGCGACTGCCCGCGGTCAGGTGGACCCCTCTACCTCTCTCCCAGGCAGTGGCTATGACAGCGAGGACTGCGAGGGTCTCTTGGGGACAGAGGCGCCACCCAGGGAGCCCGGGCTGCACTCGGGGCCCGGCATGGCCGTGCTGGGGCCCTCGCCCTCCTCCGTGGTCAAGATGGAGGCCAACCAGAAGGCCAAGAAGAAGAAGGAGAGGCAGGGCCTGCTCGGTAACCAGGGGGCGTGGGCGGCCCGGCTCGGCCCGGTGGGCGGGGGCCTCTGCAGCCGGGACCCCCGTGATGCCGCCCTCCGTCCCCTCCCGCAGGGGCCTGCCGCCTGTCCAGCCCCGAGGGCGAGGTGAAGATCAGGCGGCGCACGGTGAAGGAGAAGGCGGGCGCCAAACTGGAGCGGGCGCCGGGGCAGAGGCCGCCAGGAGCGCCGGGCAAGAAGAAGGCCAAAGGCGGCCTGCGGGCAGAGCCAGGGCCCACCCCGGGCAGGGACGCCCTTTTCGGCCCCTCCCGGGCCTTTGCCTGCCGCGAGGAGGGCAGCAAGCTGGCCAGCGAGCGCCTCAAGAGGGCCACGCGCAAGAGCACCATGCTGCAGCCGGTGCTGCGGGTGAGGCTGGCGGGCTCCCAGGGCCACGGCGCCAGGGTCTCGGGCCCCAAGGGGTGGGCACCCGTCCCCAGGGGAGAGGCCTTCCCGGCCGCACCCCACCGTCCTCCCCTGCATGCCGCCCCCGAGTCCTACCCGGGCGTCCGCGGGCAGGGGCTGCAGCCACCCTCACCGCCGCCCTTCTCTGCCCACCCCATGCACAGCGGAAGAACGGGGCCCTGTCCATTGCCCTGGCCGCCCGCAACGCCAAGGCCATCCTGGGCAAGGGCCGGAAGCTGGGCAAGGTGAAGAGCAAGAGGGTCCGCAAGCAGGTAGCATCCCCCGCCCCGGGGCCCACGGGTCCAGCCCCACCCCAGCCCCTCCTGACCCCTCCTGACCCCTCTGGCCCCCAGGGCAAGGGCCGGGCCGTGAGCCGCCTGCTGGAGAGCTTCGCGGTGGAGGACGACTTCGACTTTGATGACAACAGCAGCTTCTCGGAGGAGGAGGAGGAGGAGGAGGAGGAGGCCAGTGGCCCCCTGAGCCTGGAGCAGAGCGCAGCCCTGGGTGAGCACAGCCGGGAGGGCGCGAGCGCCTGGGTGGGCGGGGGGTGGGCCGGGCTGGTCGCTGACGCCCGCCGCCCGCAGCGCGCTCCTGCACCATCCACAAGGAGGACCTGCAGGACGGGCTGCCGGTGCTCATTGCCAAGGAGGACAGCCTGCTGTACGCGGGCAGCGTCAGGACCCTGCAGGCCCCCGACATGTGAGCCGGGCGAGGGGGCGGGTGGGGGCGGGGCGGGGCGGGCTGAGACCCGCAGGCCCCTCACCCCACCCTGGTCCCCCCAGCTACAGCATTGTCATCGAGGGCGAGAGGGGCAACCGGCAGAGGGTCTACTCGCTGGAGCAGCTGCTGCAGGAAGCGGTGAGGGGCCCGGCTGCCCGGGGCAGGCGGGGGCAGGCTCTGGACACCCGGGACCAGGCCCCACCTGCTCACGGGCACCACCCGCGGGTCCCTGCAGGTTCTCGACGTGCAGCCGCAGTCGAGCCGGTACCTCCCGCCCGGCACCCGGGTCTGCGCATACTGGAGCCAGAAGTCCCGTTGTCTGTACCCGGGCAACGTGGTGCGAGGTACGTCGCACCCAAGGCCAGCGCTCGGGCAGAGACCCACAGAGTGTCCAGGGGGCCCTCTCCCCCCAGTCCAGCTTCCCAGGCCGGCCCCTCCCGCCCTTCCCTGCCCGGGAGCCTGCAGCCGGCAGCACCAGCTCTCGCTTAGATAGAGCAAGACAGCGGAATCAGCTCCCTGTTTGCCACGAGGAAGTCAGGGCTCTGGCTGTGGGGCCAGACAGAGAAGGACGGGCAGGGCAGGGCCCCAGACTCCCAGGACTAGGGCCACCGAATCCATCCCAGGGGCACCGGCTGGGGTGCCCAGGGGCGAGACCTGGGCACGTGGGGCCCCGGGCGGGGAGGTGGGGACCCCCAGGTGGGTGGGCGGGAGGCGGTCAGTGGCTGCTCGAGGCAGAGGAGGCCGTGGGCTCCTGGGCCGCCAAGGTGCTCGGGGAGCAGGTCTGGGCGCGGCAGCCCCTCCCCTGGCCAGCCGTGTGCTCCTGTGCCGTCCGCAGGCAACTGTGGGGAGGAGGAGGAGGAGGACCTGGACTCCGTGGTGGTGGAGTTCGACGACGGGGACACAGGCCACATCGCCGTCTCCAACGTCAGGCTCCTGCCCCCAGACTTCAAGATCCAGTGTGAGCACCCCAGGACAGCCGGGCGTCCCCCCAGTCCAGACGGGCTCCCAAGAAGGGGGTGCGGGCTGGTGGTGGCCGTGCGGCCGAGGCACTGAAGAAGCCCTTCTGCCCACGTGTGCGCAGGCACGGAGCCCTCCCCAGCCCTGCTCGTGTCCAGCAGCTGCCGGAGGACCAAGAAGGCCTCCAGCGAGGCCCCCCCGCCCAGCGAATCCACCGCCCCCAGCCTGTCCCCCAAAGCGCAGGACAGCTCCGAAACCTCCAAGACGCCCGGGAAGAAATGCATGAGCAAAGACAAAGCTGGTATTTGCAGGACCGCTGAGAACCGGGGTCGGGGGAGGCACCGCCTGGGGCGTGGGCGGCCCGGCGGCGCACGGGGAGGGGCGCGTGGGGACAGCCTCGCGTGCCCCGCCAGCGCTGACTCTCCCTGGCCTCCCCACACAGGCAAAGCCGAGCTCCTAACCTCAGGTGCCAAACCCCCCTCGGGGGCCTCAGACCACTTCTTGGGCCGCCGGGGCAGCCCCCTGCTGAGCTGGTCCGCGGTGGCGCAGACCAAGCGGAAGGCGGTGGCCGCGGCGGCGGGCAAGGGGCCGGGGGTGTTGCAGAACCTCTTCCAGCTCAACGGCAGCGCCAAGAAGCTGCGGGCGCACGAGGCCCTGTTCCCCGTGCATAGCATGGCCACGCCCGTGTTCGGCAACGGCTTCCGCGCCGACTCCTTCAGCAGCCTGGCCAGCTCCTACGCTCCCTTCGTGGCCGGGGCCGGGCCGGGCCTGCCGGGCGGCGCCCACAAGCTGCTGCGGGCCAAGAAGGCGGAGCGGGCGGAGGCCGAAAAGGGCGCGCGGCGGCGGGCGGGCGGCGAGTTCCTGGTCAAGCTGGACCACGAGGGCGTGACGTCCCCCAAGAACAAGAACTGCAAGGCACTGCTCGTGGGGGACAAGGACTTCGGCCCCAAGCTGGGGCGGGCCCTGCCCAGCCCCAGCTACGCGCACCCGGCCCTGGCGGGCAAGGACAGGAAGGGGCGGGCGCCCGTCCACCCGCTGCCCATGGGGCTGGCGCTGCGCAAGTTCGCGGGCCAGGCCGAGTACTTTCGCCGCGATCTTCCATATATATTACTATATATTTTTTTCTCACTTTGTTGCCCAGGCTTAGAGTGAGTGCCATGGCTTCAGCCTAGCTCACAGCAACCTCAAACTCCTGGGCTCAAGCGATCCTCTCTGCCTCAGCCTCCGGAGTAGCTGGGACTACAGGATGCACCACCATGCGCCCAGCTAATTTTTTCTAATGATTTTTAGTTGGTCAATTATTTCTTTCTATTTTTAGTAGAGCACGAGGTCTTGCTCTTGGCTCAGCCTGCTTTCAACCGCCTGATCCTCGAGTAATCGCTGCGCCGCCTCGCCTCGCCAGAAGGGCGAGGGAGTGGTACAAGGCTGGATAAGCACTGCTCCCGCCGTCTTCGCACACGTTTACAATGGGCAGTGGAACAGAAAAGGAAGAGCGCGAAGAGCGCGGACATGGCTGACCGGGCCCAGCGGCAGGCTGGTTCCGCGGAACCGCGGGCAGCTCCGTCCCACACAGGGGACCCCCCTGCCCAGGTGGCGAGGAACTCATAGCCCAACCCTATCCTGGCGTGGGGTTCCGCCTGACCACTCCATGAGGCTGCCGGGCCAGTCCGCAGGACACAGGCCGAGATCTTTTGGCCCCCGGGTTTTTCCACCCGGAGGCAAGGCCGGCTGTGGCCTCCGCGAGGAGCTCTTCTCGGCTTGGAGAAGCTCAGGGACCGTAACTTGCGCTTGAGCTGGCTTGTGCCCGGCGGGGGCCGGTCGCCCCGCCGGCCACCGCAGGCCTGGACAGGAAGGCATGGGCTGCGTTGCGCCGTGGGGCCGCCCCTTGGGCGCGGCAGGTCGGGGGCTGGGCCATGAGGGCGGGTACGGCGTGGGACGAGGCAGGTCTGCAGCAGCAGGGCGGGTCCTCGTCGTCAGCTGTAAGGACGATCCTCGTTGTCCGAGGAGCCAGCTGGACGGTGGACACGCGAAGCCCCGAGGAGGAGGACAGGTGGAGGCGAAGCCCGGAGGCACACGGACGAGGACAGACAGGCGGGTGAGGAAGCGCCCCAACAAGGTTCCCCAAGGCCAGACCCCCGGTGTTCCTTTTTTGTTTCTTTTTTTTTTGAAGACAGCGAGTCTCACTTTGTTGCCGTGTAGAAAGTGCGTGGCCGTGGCATCGCTTAGCTCACAAGCCAACCCAGACTACTGGGCTCAAGTGATCCTCCTGCCTTAGACCTTCCCGGATGTACAGGCACGCGGCCCCACTGCCCGGCTTCATTTTTTTCTACTGTATATTAGTTGGCCAATTGAATTTTCTTTCTATTTATGTAGTAGACAGACAGGGCGCTCTCGCTCTTGTCCAGGTTGGTTTCCACTCCTCACCTCGAGCAAGCCGCCTGCCTCGGCCTCCAGAGTGCTACGGGATTACTAGATGTGAGCCACCTCTATGCCCGGCAGACCCCAGTGTTCCTTTATTGTCGGAGGTCCAGAGTGCCCGGACCCGGGGGTTGCCGGCGGCCGGCTGTCTCCTCCGGACCGTGCGGCCGGGCCTCACACGTCAGCCAATGGGCCGGGGGTTTCTCTCCCTGGCGTTGCCTGGCTGTGCCCAGCACACCATCACCACGAGGCCATGAACACGCCCCTTGCCCTGGAGTACCGACGCAGATACGACACACGTACTCCTCTCCGCTCATGCTGGCCCCTCATCGCCCTGGCCGTGTCCCGCACAGCGGGCCGCGGCCATGAAGGGAAGGCCAGGAAGCTGTTTCTACAAGCCATGTGCGGGGCAAGGAGACCTGTGCGCTGGGTGCTGCGCTGAGGTCTAATCTGGTCCAGATCGAGCGCGCACCATCTTGCACAACTCAATACATCGCAGAGTAACATCGAGAGCATTGGAAGACGTG